AATACTGAAAATAATCTAGTAGATCATATAAAAATAATTCGTAAAGCGGTGATACACAATCTAAGAAATAATTAGAAGAATATAAGAACGAAGATTGTTTTTCAAATTGGACATAAAGATATGGTGTACCTTCATAAAAAATGGCTCTTAACCGGTAGCTACAACAAGTTGAAGCTTTTGATTATTTATGAAAACAGGTTCATGTCTTTCAATACGTAGCAACAAAAGCAGATTTATGCATTACTGAGCTTGATCAAAGGAGGTCTTTAAAACTTATAGGTCCCACTTATCTATGCATGGGACTAGATCTAGAAAACTAAATTGAGTAAACCTTGATTTACCTCAAAACCATGATGATAGACGAATGAAAATGAGAGAATATTATCATTCTTTGAGGAGTAAACCAAATACTACAATCCGGCCAGCATTAGGAGAAGGAATGAACTTTAAGATACAAAATACATTTTTTAAGTTCTTACTCTGTTTTCACGGTCTATCTACCAAAGACTCTTATGTATACCAAGAGGAATTGACTATGAGCATTTTTATGTAATTAATAACCTCGTAGGAATGGGATATCATATCAGCATAAAAGTATTATGAGTAATCAAAAGGTTGAAGTACTATTGTTGTGGACTGGAGAGAATTGAATGATAGAAATTTAGATCACCTACCATACGTTAGCCGGTTCTACTTGGTCTTTGAATTCTCATTGATTGTAATTTTTCTTTTCGTAATTGTTGAAGCAAATTAAATTTTAGGTACAGAATGATATGAATACATTTTAAGAATTCGACCAATCACTAATAAACTATTAGCCGGTTCTACCCAAACTTACCCTTGAGATTTTCAGAATTCGACCAAACATAGTTTGGGTTAAGATTTTCTTCATACTCATCTTTTTCAATATTTCTTCATCCTCTTCTTTGTTGTATATGTTTGGGTTAAGATTTTCGTTCATGAAAAAAGAAAAAAAAGGAAAATGAAAAGAAAAGAAAAGAATGAAGAGAATAGAGTAAAGAAAAAGTCATTGCAGAGTACTCATCTTATTCCTTGTTTTCATATGACACTATGTACATTTTTTTTATTTGAGAGCTTAACAATCATGAGTGGTACTTAGCCATTGCTCTTCAGCCCATGACCTACCTATGTTGTAACCCATCTTTTTATCCACATTCATTTTGTACCACAAAGAGGAGATGTCTTTCCACCATATACAAAAGAGAGAGATATCCATTTTGAGGGGTTTAGGATTAGACACATCAAGATGAGAATTTTTTCTAGCCTATAGTATCATACCTAGGAATCTGCTCATTCTATTTGATTGCCCGTGATTCATTCCAAAAACTCCTAAGAGGTTGACCAAGATGATATAATTAAGCCTTCCATGAGTTTTGATCATATGCTGAGCTATGAGTTTTGATCATATCTAGTGATTAATATTTTGAACACTTCTTGTCTTCATATTTCAGGATTGAAAGGTGAAGGGATAGCGTTAGAGACTATCATATAAGATACATATAGGCATTGATATCTAATATATAGATGATAATTAATGAGTAGATAATAGTAGTATGAAGTCAAGTGACAATTCCTGCGGGTATGAATCCCCCTAAATAAAAACTAATATTTTTATCTGATTATCATGACTTTCCTGCAGATTGCTGCTGATGGAGTAGCCGCTAGAATCACTAGATATTTTCCAAAAATCTTGTCAGTGATTTTCCAAAAATCACTAGATGTTTAAATATTAACGATAAAAGGATCACGAATCCAATGGATGTCGTTGGGAAGAAAATTATTGACCAGGAGATGAGTTGCAACCATCTAAGAGTATACCAGATGCAATGAAAAGTCTCCTCTTGCTGCGTGGACCTTAGGATGAAGCTCCCTCAAACACGCCTCACATCCATTCAGCCCTTCTCTTGGAGGGCCGCCCTCATATAATGATTATTAATATTGACCATCCATTGGATGTGCCTAAATCTCAAAGCTGAAGGAGCGTCATATAATGATATGTCACCCCCCTCTTGGAGGACGCTTTTTAGTTCACGTTCTAGCAGGGCAAAGCTGAAGGAAACAGAAGGAAAATCATGGTTTGATCAATTGCATTCTCGTCACAGATGGAGCATCACTCGGCTTTTACACACTTTAACATTTCATTAAAATTTCTAGTTTCATTACCCATGCTCGTTGAGGATTGACCATTACTCATCCTAAATAGAAGAGTGAAGTTTAGTAAATTTGTTTGCATGAGCTTAGTTGTATTACGATGACATATTTAACCTTTAGTTTAAGTTCGTCACCTAGGCAATGGCGTATTGCTTGGAGTAGCTCAATGTTGAGAATGGCACACCGCAGACGACAAGACGCATTGCGATCTACTCATCTAGCATCTAGCATCTTCAGGTAGTGAATTGTCCCCCTTTGGAGAATAGGTCTATGGCACATCAGACCTGCCAGATTTGCTGTGAATTGCCATCCCAGCACCTCTCCTAAGATCTCGTTAGTACCATCAGGTAGCTTAGAGCCTACGAGAAGCTAAGGAATTACCCTTGTACCTAAGATCATATGCAATTAGTGGAGGGTGAGAGAAGAGGCCCCCAAGAAAAAAGAAGAGAGAGAGAGCAGGTAGTTCTTGAAGGGTGAATGGTTTGATACCCAGTTTGAGGAAGTATGACGACTAATGATAGTAACAAGATCTTGGCATGAGAGATGGGATACGTGCAACACTAGGAAGGCATGTTCATATTTGGGGTTATTGCATCACTCCAGCAATGTTCCGTCCTCCTCACTGCCCTATTTACTCCTTCCTCACCACTTAGTGCAGTAAACTCTTGTTTTGCAGGAATACCTCATGGCACATGGAGGGCTAGTCCCCCACTTGTGTAGCAGGGATCATTTAATGTCATGGGCTTACTGGGTCCACCAGCCCAACTAAAATCTTCCACCTTCGTCAAACATTTTGACCACAGTGGGTTTATAGTCCTCCCTCTCCTCCACACTATATGTGCAGATGAGATCCCACTCAATGATCACATAAACAAATAGACAAATTTCTATCCACTTGTGAGTTAAGTTAGTACACTTCCCAAATGTATCTTAAGAAGTTATGAGGATTTCATGACCAGGCAAGAGATGGGCTAATATTATTAGGCCAAATTTTGACTTTGTGCAGAAATTTTATCCTATAGGAAAAAAACATGCCATTACAAAATTGATCTTCATATTTATGCAGAAACTAAGGACGCCTTAAACGAAGTTGGGAGTTATTTAAATACTTACTTACATTCCACATCATGGGATCGCCAAATGGCAAATTAACAGGATGTTCTATCACCACATGGCAAACTGTGTGAGGATGATATGCACCAGCTGTATGAGGATGATCGTCTGAGGAAAATAATGTTCAGATAAATAGAATGGAGTGCTGAGGCATATAAACTAAGGAGGAATATTCGTAGATTTTGTGATTGCCTTCTTTTAAATCTTGGGCAAAATGAAATAAAATGAGAATATAAGCTTGAACGCTAGAGTCCCTTCTCAATATTTTGCAAAGAGGCCAAAAGTCATGAATCCAAACTTTTGCGCAGATCAAAGTCCACCTGCTGATTCTTCTAGTGTTATGAGCTTACAGGTTTAAATAAAATATTGCAGAGAACGATTTGTCATCAATCGGGGTTGGGGTCCAAGTTTGAATTTTAACTGAGAATTTTTAAGTCTTGGATCAATTTTAATGTCGAATGAAAATTTGAATTTCGCATGAAATGGAGCTTCAAGCCTCAACAGTAATGGGTTTCATGATGCATGGATAATGGCGTTCAGGTTTTCGGCTCCATTATCTAGAGGTAAAAAATTTTGGTTGTGAGGTTTTACTTTAGGAGAAAACGTTTAATATCTAGAGGAGGCAATAGGAGTATTCATCCCTCCTCACAAGGTTCAAATCTCCCATCAGATGACATGGCTCTCTGCGTACCGTTGGATCATACCACAATGGATCTCAGTACATATGCTTTCTTCCAAAATAAAAGGCAAGAAACTGAATTATCACCGAGATGTGGAAGGGGAGCGACGCACACGTGCATGAAGCGAGGACTTTGCCACTCAATCCCAGCTCGTGGCTCGACCGGTCTGGTTTACCCATTCAGCTGCTGTCCCCCCTCCAAGTTAACACAATAAAATAAAATAATCAAAAAAATAGAAAAACACAATTCTTGCTTTAATACCCAACAACTAGTAATTTGGACAGATGAAAAAACTATTTTATATTTTAGCTGCCACAGAATTATTTTACATGAAATGAGTGTGAGAAATCTAACGACATTGAAGACATTGGTGGCACTCAAAACACTGTAATATAGTAGTAACATACAAGATAAACAAGATATGGGCCTGATCCCAAAAAGCTCAAATCTTTGAAAGGAAACCTTTCTCTAATTCCACAGCATTGTGCATTTAAGATTTATACATTTAGACAAGTTTGAAACTTTAGTATCAATTTGTCAAAAATAGCAATTAGTCAAGTTGTTTCTATAATGTAGTTTGAAAGTTTTTATGTGATGTTTTTTATTTGGCATTACTCATACATTTGAAATTCTTCATATATTGCACCTGGAAAATGATACGTGAACATCCCCTTTACTCTATATGTAAAGTTTTACATATATTTGACTAATAGTGATTAAAAAAGTCATTCTAAAAGGTAAGATAAGTTATAAATAAATCTATCTGGGTGTGAACAATCCTCAAGATTGCATTTCATGCTTGATCGTGATATCGTTACAAAATTAACACTGTAAGTTAGTAAATATCACCTAGTAGATATTTATGTATGTTTTTGTTTTTATGCTTGAACACCACATCAACCAATAAAAAGATTAGATCAAGGGGGTGCCTGAATTTTATTTTTGTGTTTAATGAAGCATGTAAGTAATTGGGCTTGATGCAGCTGATGCCTTTTTGACAATGACGCAGCAGTAACACAGAAGGTAAAGATGGTTTCATTCATCTCCTGCTCTCTAAATCAAGTTTGGAGCAAGATTTAGAACCACAAAGTTTAGCAAACATTTCATCTAGGCATGGAATCAGAAATTTATACTTAATTGTGTTCTTTTTGGAACAAGTAAAGCTAGCACAGAACATGGACCTATACTTTCTCTTATCAATCCTTCACTCAATAACTCTTCGACTTGTTCATCAAGAGTTTAATTTTGTTGTGCAGTCATTCTATAATGCGGAAGGTTAGGCACAGTTAGTTCTGGTATAAGGTCAATACGATGTTATACATGTCGCATTGGTGGAAGATGAGTATTTTAATACAGAAAATGTCAGATAAGGGACTCTAAAAAGCTTTTGGGATCACATCAGCTATTTTAATATTTGAAATACGTTTTTCAACAATAATGTAATTGAGTATTAATATAAAACTCTTTAAGAAACTGTCTGGTTAATGAGCATTACTCTCATTTGCTCCTTTGCTAAAATCACTATCTTGCTTGAAATGTTTGAACCTTGATTGAAATGTTAACCTGGCTCTGATATTAATTGATGCAGCAGTAACGCAGAAAATAAAGAGGATATGAGCTTGAATCCATAAAGCTCTAATGTTGGGGTAAAAACCTTCCTCTCAATCCATAGATTCGGAGTCTTCAACCCTTTAATCCATTAGCAAGATGGAAAGGTTCTCACAATGAAGAAAACTGAGTCCACTTAAAAGTGAGGACCTCAGGTTTCAATGGTGGCCTTTATGACCTTGACTGTCAACTACAGATTGGTTAAAGTTGAAACCAATGGTGGCCAATCAGCTAGGAAGAAGTGTAAAGAATGAGAGTTGTTGAAACTAGCATATTGGAAGATCAATCGGCCAAAATAACCATGAGCAGCTTCGATATTGTAAGTTTCTTCCTCTTGACCGAATCTGTAACCTTCATTAGCAGACTCGTTTTCAGTGGTTTCCCTGATCAAACTATAAGTTACCAAGAAACCATGCATAGCACTAAATAGGGAGCCGCCAAATACACCAGCTACGCCTAACATGTGGAATGGATGCATAAGGATGTTGTGTTCTGCCTGGAATACAATCATGAAGTTGAAAGTACCAGAAATTCCTAGACGCATACCATCAGAAAAACTTCCTTGACCAATAGGGTAGATCAAGAAAACAGCAGTAGCAGCTGCTACAGGAGCTGAATATGCAACAGCAATCCAAGAATGCATACCCAAACGGAAACTAAGTTCCCACTCACGACCCATGTAGCAAGCTACACCAAGTAAGAAGTGTAGAACGATTAGTTCGTAAGGACCACCATTGTATAACCATTAATCAACAGATGCTGCTTCCCAGATTGGATAAAAATGCGATCCAAGAGCTGCAGAAGTAGGAATAATGGCACCAGAAATAATATTGTTTCCGTAAAGTAAAGATCCAGAAACAGGTTCACGAATACCATCAATATCTACTGGCTCAATATCTACAATAAATTGTAGCGGGCATCAATGTTTCCTAAAATCCTTTAGTGTTCGATCGATTACATATTAATCAATATTCGATTGATTGGTCCAAGGCTATCGACAAACAAGATTTGTCTAAGTCACTTCGTTTCTTTTTGTGCAAGGCACTTCTCTTTTTGTCTAAGTCACTTCGTTTCTTTTTGTGCAAGGCACTTCTCTTTTTGTCTAAGTCACTTCGTTTCTTTTTGTGCAAGGCACTTCTCTTTTTGTCTAAGTCACTTTGTTTCTTTTTGTCCAAGACACTTACTTTTTTTTTTGTGCGTATTGGAAATATCCCCATTCATAGGTCCGCGATCCACATCTATGAATTGAAAGGTACAAACGAACAACTCTGCAATCAGTTGTTAAAATCCATAGGTGTTGAAATCGTTCATTTGAATAAATTGAAACCCTTTTTATTGGATGATCATGATACTTCCCAAAGACCGAAATTCTTGATAAATGGAAGAACAATATTACCATTTTTGTTCAATAAGATACGAAAGTGAATGATTGACTCATTCCATACTAGAAATAATCACAGAAAATCCTTTGATAACACGGATTCCTATTTCTCAATGATCTCCCACAATCGAGACAATTGGCTGAATCCCGGTGAAATTATTTCATAGAAGTTCATTGATATCTTCTTTTTATAAAGCAAATCAACTTTGATTCTTGAATAATCCACATCACTTCTGGTTCTATTGTGACAAAGGATTCCGCTTTTATGTGGAAAAGACCTGTATCAATAATTATGATCTTATGTATGGAAAATTCCTGAATATCTTGTTCATTCGCAAGAAAATATTTTCTTTGTGCGTGGGTAAAGGAAAAAAAAACATATTTTTTTGGAGAGAGAGGCTTTTCTGACATATTCATATCTAACGATTTTCCAAAAAGTGGTGACGAAACGTATAACTTGTACAAATCTTTCCATTTTCCAATTTGACCCGATCCATTTGTTTGTACAGCTATTTACTCGATCGCAGACATTTCTGCAACACCTCTAACAGAGGAACAAATAGTCAGTTTTGAAAGAACTTCTTGTCAGCTTTTTTCAGATATGAATCTATCTGATTCAGAAGGGAAGAACTCGCATCAGTATCTCAGTTTCAATTCAAACATGGGTTTGATTCACACAGAGGAAAAAACGGAGTCTTTGTCTAAAGAAATGCATTGAGAAACAGCAGATGTATAGAACCTTTCAACGAGATAATGCTCTTTCAAATCTCTCTAAATGGAATCTGTTCCAAACATATATGCCATGGTTCCTTACATCGACAGGGTGCAAATATCTAAATTTCACCCTTTTAGATGCTTTTTCAGACGCATTTCCAATACTAGGTAGCAGTCAAAAATTTTATCCGTTTTTCATTATATTATGCATGGATCAGATATATCATGGCCAATTCGTCAGAAAAAATGGTGGGCGATTCTTTCACAATGGACTCTGATAAGTGAGATTTCGAGTAAGTATTTACAGAATCTTCTTCTGTCTGAAGAAACGATTCATCGAAATAATAAGTCACCCATTCCATTGATATGGACACATCTGAGATCAACAAATGCTCGGGAGTTCCTCTATTCAATCCTTTTAATTCTTCTTGTTGCTGGATATCTCGTTCGTATACATCTTCTCTTTGTTTCCAGAGCCTCTAGTGAGTTACAGAAAGAGTTAGAAACGGTCAAATCTTTGATGATTGCATCATACATGATTGAGTTGCGAAAACTTCTGGATAGGTATCCTACATCGGAACTGAATTCCTTCTGGTTAAAGAATCTCTTTCTAGTTGCTCTGGAAAAATTAGGAGATTCTCTGGAAGAAATACGGGGTTCTGCGTCTGACGGCAACATGCTATTGGGACATGCTATTGGGTCGTGGTCCCGCTTATGGGGTCAGTCCATACGTTCTAAGAATAAATATTTGAATATCAATCTCATTGATCTCATAAGTATCATACCAAGTCCCGTCAATCGAATCACTTTTTCCAGAAATACGAGACATCTAAGTCGTACAAGTAAAGAAATCTATGCATTGATAAGAAAAAGAAAAAACGTGAAGGGTGATTGGATTGATGATAAAATAGAATCCTGGGTCGCGAACAGTGATTCGATTGATGATGACGAAAGAAAATTCTTGGTTCAGTTCTCTACCTTAACAAAAGAAAAAAGAATTGATCAAATTCTATTGAGTCTGAGTCATAGTGACATTCAAATTCTATCAAAGAATGACTCTGGTTATCAAATGATTGAACAACCGGGATCAATTTACTTACGTTACTTAGTTGACATTCATAAAAAGTATCTAATGAATTATGAGTTCAATAGATCCTGTTTAGCAGAAAGACGGATATTCCTTGCTCATTATCAGACAATCACTTATTCACAAACCTCGTGTGGGGCTAACAGTTTTTATTTCCCATCTCATGGATAACCCTTTTCGCTCCGCTTAGCCCTATCTCCTTCTAGGGGTATCTTAGTGATAGGTTCTATAGGAACTGGACAATCATATTTGGTCAAATACCTAGCGACAAACTCTTATGTTCCTTTCATTACGGTATTTCCGAACAAGTTCCTGGATGACAAAGGTTATCTTGTTGATGATTTCGATATTGATGGTAGTAACGATATTGATCTTGATGATACTGACGATATCGATATTGATGATAGTGACGATATCGATAATGACCTTGAGACGGAGCTGCTAACTATGACGAATGTGCAAACTATGTATATGACGTAAAAAATAGACCGATTTGATATCACCCCTCAGTTCGAATTAGCAAAACCAATGTCTCCTAGCATAATATAGATTCCAAACATTCATGATCTGTATGTGAATGAGTCGAATTACTTATCCCTCTGTTTATTAGTGAACTATCTCTCCAGGGATTGTGAAAGAAGTTCCACTAGAAATATTTGATTTCTAACCAATAGCTGCTTCAGCCGCTGCAATAGCTATAAGAAAAATTGAGAAAATATCCCCTTTTAATTGTCGACTATCAAATAAATTAGAAAATGTCACAAGATTAATATTAACCGAATTTAGTATAAGCTCAAGACACATAAGTGCTCTAACCATGCTTCGACTTGGGATCAATCCATAAATACCAATGGAAAACAAATATGCACTCAAAAAAAGTACATGCTCAAACATCATTGACTAACTCCTTATGAATCTCAAAAGAATTCAACTGCTTTAAATTTTTTATAGAATGCGAATTTCATAGAGTAACAATTTCAGGACAAAATCTAGGAAAAAATAAAGTATTCCGAATAAAATAAAGAGAAGTAGAATCAAACAAGTACCTTGTAATACTTTTTTTATATACTAGGGTTTTTAGATAAATACCATTCCTATGGGCTATAAATAGCTCATTTAAAAGGAAAATAAATGTCTTACAATAATACAAGATAAGAACAAAATAGACTTCTTGCTAATCTTAAGTATTTTATTAAAAAAAATTATTTACTATATTAAGTATTAGTTAAGTTGTATATAATATATATATTAGAATAATAATATGATTAAGTATTAGTTAAGTAGTATATAATATATATAATTAGAATAATAATATGAAAATAATAATATAATATAATACTAATATTACTAATTTACAGGAGCCATAGTAATAGCACCTATTAAGGCAACCAAGAGATATAGTCTGACTAACTCTAAAAATACTTAAAACAGACTTAGATCTTAGACAAATCCTCGAAAAATACTCTAAGATGAAATAAAACAAACTACTTAGTGGGCTGAGTTTGTGATAATTTCCTACTGGCAATTGTTCCTTTCTGAAGTATATCATAAACAAATCACCCAAGATCAAAGATCTTTCTTCTTCATTTTCTGTCTGCCTTTTCCTTGTAGTTTGTATAATTGGTTGTAAAATGTTTGTTCACATTTTCATATATTATTTGAAAGTATTCAGCCAAGTTATTTCGTGCTACACTAGTACCAAGTTCTTTTGGTAATCTTTGAGAATGATTCCACGACAACAAAAACAGAATCTTCTCCTGTTTGGGTACATGGTAATCTGAAAATAAAATGTATAGAAATCTAAGTCTTGTCACAGCTTAAGTGTCATCAAAGTCTTACTGCAAGTAATTCTCGAATTAACTTCTAAAACAAAGAAGTTCGAGGGATCCATCACTAATTTTCTTGAAATAATTAATCTTTAAAAATGTGAAATCCTTTAGATGGTTTGCACTTTTCTTCTCTCATTGTAATCAGAAATATTGATTTTTGGCTCAGTGCAACAATCACTTTGTTTGATTTTGCTTATTTTGTTTTATAACAAGAGAAAACTTTTGAATAATTGAAATCTTTCTAACATGCATTATGTTGATAGTGGTCTAACTGTTGAGTGATTTCAAAGCTTGTTGGTCAGTAAATAAAACAAATTCCAATTGAATAAAGTAATGTCCTGAAGTATGTAATGGTCTAATTATAGCATAAAGTTATAATTCGTATGTAATATACTTTCTTTGGGACTTTATTAATTTCTCACTATAAAAAACTACTGGATGACTTTCTTGGGGTAATACAGTTTCGATTCTAATAATTGAGGCATCACATTCAACTTCAAATAGTTTATCAAATATTGGCAGTACTAGTATAGTGTCAGATCTTAACTTTCCTTCAGTTAAAATAAAAGTTCTCTTTGTTGCATCTGTCAACTAAAAGTTTCCTCTTTTTATGCACTAAATGATGGGAGTCATAATTGAACTGAAAGATAGAATAATACTTGTATAAAAGGATGCTAAGTCATGAAGACTGATGCCATCTATATTTTTTAGAATTGACTAGTCTTTAATAACTTCAACACTTTTTTCATCCTCTTTGATGCCATCTATACATACAATATATCATAGAAAGGCTTCCTCTATGATACTATATATCAAAATATTGTCCAATGAATCGCTTCAGTACCTGAGTCATCATTCACATAAAAGTACTCGGAACATTAGATAAGTCACATTGCATAACGAACCATTCATATGATCTTTCTTTCATTTTGAAATTGGTCTTCCATGCATCACCTTGACGAATTCAAGTTTGATGAGACCCACTTTTAAGGTCAATTTTGAAAAAGATTCTAAAACCACACAGCATGTCAAGCATATCATCACATTTTGGAAATAGAAATATATTTTACTGTCATTTTATTAATTACTCAACTACCTACACAAATTCGTCAGGTTCCATCTTTTATTGGAACTAATAATGCAGGTACTGAGCATGGGCTCTTTAACTTGTTCCTGTAAAATCATATTCCAGTAAGCACTAATTCTGTAATGAGATAAATTTATAGGAGATTTATAAGAGAACTCATTTAACATATTTTGTGTTGCATTAGGTATAACACTATAATCATGCAAAGAAAGATTTTATTTTTTAACCAGCATAAATACTTTAGAATTATCTTTCGAAGTATTAAAAGTTATTTTTTTGTCAATCATCATAACTTGTTTTTTCTTTTCTTTAACTGCACTGAAAAACTCATTTTCTTTTATTCGGCATAAAACAAACATCTCAACAGTTTTGTAAAAAAATTAATGATTATCTCTGCCCAGGTGAGTTGCATCTAAATCGTATTACCATGGTCTACCCAAAATTAGATGACAGACTTCTATCTCAACAACATCGTAGTAAATCTCATCTGTGTAACTCTGGTCTTATACATCTGTGTAGCTCTGGTCTTATAATCCTTCTTTATTCACGCAATTATATATGGATGTAGATATTTTTTAATTTTCAGCCCCAATTTATATACCATCAAAGAGGAAATAATATTTTCACTACTGTTAGAATCAAAGACACTGGAGTAAGGTTCTTCATTCTTTGGTGCATACATCAGTCTTTGAATGACTAGTGAGTGACCAAAGTCTTCTTCTTTGCCCTCAATATTATTATCTTGAATTTCTTCTTGACCTTCTGCACCTTCAGTTTCTTTTTGAAGTTTAGAATATCATATTTTGGACAAAGATTTGATTTGTGACATTCTTCATTAGATCTATAATATTTTGGAACAGAGTTAGGTACATATGGATTCCTTTGAGAAGAATTTTGACGCACTAGAAATAGATCCACTTGGTCTTGGTGCAGCTGAGGTTGCCGATCTTTCATTACAAGTAGCAACTGAAATATATGTTTGTCTTGACCTGTCTGGCTGAAATGTTGACACATTAGTAGAATTTCGAGTTCTAGATTTTCCTTTCTCCAATAAAGCCTCAGCACATTCTGATGTCATAACAGGATCATTTAACTTGAAGAATGATTGTAACTAACCTTTTCTTCAATATCCCATCGAAGTCCAGTTTTAAATCGAGAGATCATATAAGATTCATATTAAGTAAAATTGACTCTTGAAGAAAATCTGTAAAATTCCCCAACATATTCTTTGACATATCTACTTCCCTGTTTAATATTTTCATAATGGTAATGTAAGACCTATACAAAATTAGGAGGAAGAAATGTAGATTTTAATAATCTTTTCATCTTATCCAAACTTCAAACATGATCTTTTCCTGATCTTGCATCAGTGGATTGTTGTTGATCCCACTAGGCAAAGGCTTTACTTTGAGTTTATAGGCAACTAATTTCACCTGTTTTTCATCAGAATCATCATATATTCAAAAAATCTCTCAATTTCAGAAATTCAATCAAGAAATTATTCTATTTTTAAATGTCCATTAAACCTAGGCAAATGAATTTTCATTTGAAATTCTTTGCAATCATCATAATCAGATTTACTTTTTGAGCTTCATGTATCATTTGATAAGTTTTTATGTGACATATTATAGAAATCATTTATTTTTACTCGAGTTTGACCACCAGATTGATATTCTATTGTACACATTCGTGCTAAGATTTGCTTAAAAGTGTCAGTTAAATCTTCAAATTTTTGTTCCATATGAATCTTAAAATCAGCAAACTATAATTTCAAAATAGGGCATACCTCAAAACTTTCATTGTCAGTGATTTGAATCCTTTTTACCTTGTGGCATCTTGTAAATCGAAATCTGAAACATTAACCTTGCTGTGATACCACTTGACACAACGAAACTGGAGGAGGGAATGGCTTGAACGAGTTATGATCAACTCTGATGTTGTGGGGGTTGAAGACACGTCTTGAATCCTTCAAAAACGTGCTCCACTTGTTGTCTCTTCACTTTAAATCTGCAGGTTGAAGAAGACAGGTCCCTTAAGTTCACAAGATAGTGATTTTGAATCCACATAAGTAAGAATAGGGCTTTAAGGTACATCAAGTAAACTGGACTGCAAGTTGCAATAGTATTATGCTTCAAGGTGCATCAATACTGAGCTTCAGGCTTCTTCAGTAGTGGGCTTCAAGGTTTTGGCTGTATTAAGTACCAAGATAATGTAGCGCAAAAAAGTACTATCAAAGATAATATCTGCGTTGAAAAGGCTGAAAGGATTAAGAATCAGGTGCAATAAAGTTTTATACCATCTCAAATGAATCAGAGATTCAAGAGATGTGAAGACTATTTTCTGCCTAAAGTCAGCTTCAAATGGTCTATTAAGAGATTTGGCCACATTTCATATGGTCCCTTCCTTTTTAGGCGTTTTCCCCTTCTACTGGTTGATTTCAGTATCATTTTTGATTTTGTGGACTCAGGATCAACCCTTTGTAGACTCAAGGGGTGAAATCTCTTTGTTCTGTGGCTTCGGGGCAAGGAGTTTTCAACCAAGACACATTCCTTTCAGATTCAAGGTCATGATTTTTCTTTTAGAATATACAGTCAATGCTGAAATGTGATCAGGTTATCATTTTTTCAAATTTCGTTGTGTCATAAGACCAGTTGGAACAAGTATTGTTACAAACAATATGGTAGATCATATCAAAGCACTTCATGAAGGTGTGATACACAATCTCACAATCAATTATGAGAAATATAAACAGCAACATATAAGAAAAGAAGAAAGAAGATTCCCAGCATCTAGCTACAATAAGTTGAAGCCAAAGGAATATGAACCATATTAGGTTCTACAAAATAAGTTGAAACTATATACCTCATTCAGCTCTTTGCAAATATAACTATTTCACCAGGATTCAATATCGGTGACATATATTAGTACTACGATGATTAAAATGAAAACTCTAGAACGAGTTTTCTAGAAGGAAAAACTGATATAACGTAAGACACAAGTTGAAATCCCAACTTCAAATTTGGGCTCACTTATCTAAAATTTTGGGTCATAAAGTGAAAAGTGCTAAAAAGTAGCCCCGATATGTCACCAGTGGGCTGAAGGTCTAAAAAGTAATATTTATTTTCTACTTTATGTCTTTTTACTTCTAGAAGGTATTTTATATCTATTTATTTCTAGAAAAAAATTCAATGTGGTTCAATTTGCACCTTAGATCTATTCAGGATCTTTGATTGACAGAGTCTATACCTAAGATTTGTCTCAAGATTTCTGGTTGTTAGAGTATGTACATAAGATCTATTCACTATATCTACCTGTCAGAGTTTATTTTAAGTCATTTCAGAGTTAGTCAGAGTATTTTTAAAGGATATGTCCAAGATTTCAGTATGTCAGAGTCTATTGTAAGTTATTTTTGAGTTAGTCAGACACTATCCTCAAGATCTGTCAAGATCTTCCTTTTGAGAGTGCCCAACTTCCCTTTTAGGCCTATACAAAGGCCCCATTATAATCTGAGGTCCTCACTTTTTTAGTTGAATCAATTTTCTCCACTGTGAGAACCTTTCCCTCTTGTTTATGGATTCAAGCACCCCCTTGCAGATTCAAAGGTTAAGACTTCAAATGTAGATTCAGAGGTAGGTTTCTTCTCCAAGATTAGAGCTTTGTGGATTCATATCCATATCTGTTTTATCTTTCGTGTTACTGCTGCATGATCATGCTCATGTATCATGATTATCTATTAATCTTCTGCCCTCTAATAACTATTAATCATATATTTCTCCTCTCATTTATCTTGAGGCTCTCATCCTTAAAGAAAACCAGAAAATAATACAATTCGTAAATCATCATGTGAAAAGACATTAGTAGAATATTAAATGTGTACTCATCATATTCTTATAATTGTTAGGCTTTAAGCACTAATATTCTTGCCCCTTTAACATATTAATTGCTTGAATTATCAACAGCACACTACAGAAGTATGTTGTACATATAAAAAGTAGATGCAAATAACTTTCATGATTCACAGAAACTATGCAATTAGTTATAATGAGTAACGTTTTCTCGGTCTCTTATGAAAGCTCTTGATCTGGCATGAACTTTCCAACAAAATTAAGTTGTGGAATAGTTTTCATCGAGTACATTTTGGGATGCCTGATTTCTTCTTAGTTGAAATGATATACTAGCTCAACATTTTGTTATATCTTTCTCTGAATTCTTAGATATTGCATTTGGCCTTGGTAAATTTAATCTAACAATAGAAGAAGTGCATAATAGAGTTTCAAAGGTTTTACATACTTGACTTTCATAGATGTTAATTTGATCAATTAAATCATCTAAATTGTTTAGACAAGAATTTACTGAACATAACTCTATTTTTACTCAAATCACATTTATCAAGGTGCTGACATAATCATGATGTCCACACTTGAATTTCTTTTTTTATGAATTTTAAAATATATTTTATCTTCATCATTTAGTCAAAATCATAAGAACTCATATCTTTGAGGAAACTTCTAAAATTTTACTTGATAACATGTATATCCCTATTTTTTGGAGCCTTTTGTTGAATTATAAATAATATATTAATACTGCAACATCTTCTAAAAATATAAATATTAATATGTTTTAGTTTTAGAAAAATGTTAATATGTGGATAGATTAAGTCATGTCAATAGACAATAGAAAATAGAAAGTAATTGTGGGCAAATTTACCATGGAAATTGTATGCAAATTCTACTTGAGCTGAAGTAAAATCGCATTGTTTTGATTTCTCTTCTAAAATACAAAGGATTAAATTGGCAAGTGTCATGTTAATCACCTTCATGTGATCATTAATTTTTAAATGAATTAAAGCACTAAAGTTTAGGCATAAGTTAAATCTATTCCAAAGAGTATATAAAAAATGGGACAATTTTTTTTGACACTCCATATAAATGAATTATTTCTTTAAAAAATAAATTTACTGCTTGAACAACATCATTAATCTTCTAATATGAAATAAAATGCATCATCCTTGAAAATCTAATGACAGCACAAATACAAAATCCAGTCCTCGTTAAGTAAATGGTAATTCCAAAATAAAATCTATAGAAATGTAAATTCATTCTATCTTGAATGTGTAGTGGAGTACACAGACTTGTGTTCTAGCATTGGCCATTGTCTTTTATTAACTTGATAAATTTGACATCTCCACACAAAACTTTCAATTTCTTTCTTAAGTTGTGAGCAATAATAATGTTCTACCACTATTTTTGAAAGTCTTGTCATGGCCTAAGTGTCCTCTAAGTCCTATTGCATGTAATTCTAGAATTAATTTCTTCTATAAAAAGTTTGAGAAATACATAATTAACTATATCAAAATAAGTAATCCTCAAGAATGTGAAATTCCTTGAATGATTTGCCTTATTTGCAAGTACTTTAAATTGGAGTAAAGTATTCTTCTCCTATATAGAGTTCTATCAAATATTAAACCCAGTGACATCACCTTGCATCGTAATCAAGAATGTTGATTTTCAAATCAGTATATTAGTCACTCTATTTAATTTTCCTTATTTGCGCTTTATCACAACGGTGAATTTTGAATAAAAGAAATACATCTAGTGTCTATTGATAGTGGTATGACTATTGACTAATTTCAAAGCTTGATGGTCAAGAAAAAAATAAATTCTTGTTAAATCAAGTATTTCTCTCAATCAAGTATTAATGCTTTGGGTACAACATAAAATTGTAATTTATATGTCATCCAATTTATTATGATTTTTTTATTTTTTTATTATAAAAAAGTAAATAAACAGCCCTTTTAAAATAATACAGCTCCAATTCTAATAACTGAAGCATCACATTCAATTCAAATTATTTATAAAATTTTTCTAGTACTAGAATATGCGTAGAATATAATTTTTCTTTGATTGAAATGAAACTTTTGTCAACTACTTTTGTCTGCTTCAATTTTTGTTTTACATGCACTTAGTGATAGAACTCACAATTGAGCTAAAATTTCTAATTTGTTTTTTATAAAACAAGGCTAAGCTATGAAAACTGTGAACATCATGTGTTTTCTTTAGAATTGATTAGTCTGTAATAGCTTTAAATATTTTCTTTATCGAATTTGATTACTTCTACACTTATAATATATCCTAAAAAAATTAAATTAGATGTAAACAATTCACATTTCTTCAAATTGATAAATAACTCATTCTACTAAAAAATATTAATACAAATCTCAGATGACAAATATCAAAATATCAGCAAAATAGGCATCAATCAATTTTCTAATAAAAGATTTCAGTATGTGATTAATCATTTGCATAAAAATACTTGAAATATTAGATAAACCAAATGACATAACTAATCATTCATATAATCTTATATTCATCTTGAACACAGTCTTCTATTCATCACCTTGATGAATTCTAATTTGGTGTAACCACTATTCAGATCAATTTCAAAAAAGATTCTAGAACCACATAAAATCTCAAGTATATCATCAAGTTTTAGAATTGAAAATTTATATTTCACTATAATTTTGTTGATTACTCTATTTTTAACTCACATACACTAAGGTTCCATAATGTTTTAGAACTAATAGTGAAGGCACTAAATATGGACTAATGCTTTCACAAATCAATCATTTCTCTAATAGTTCTTCAACTTATTCTTGTAGAATTTGATTCTCCTAAAGACTCATTCTATAATGAAGTTAAATTAAGTAAATTGTCTCTAAGAATTGAGAAGCTCACCATGACCTAGCAAAAGTATGCTTTCAACATACTTCATGAGATTAGACTTATTTAACATATTCTGTGCTACCTCAAGTATGACATTTACTTAATTAAAATAATCATTCTTCTTTTTTAATCAGTATAGATATTTTAGAATTCTCTTTTAAAGTAGTAAATAATTATTTTATATCAATCATCATGCATGTTTATTCTTATCTTTCACAATATAAGAAAAATTAATTTCACTCATAGGCTATAATACGAGCTTTTCACAATTTTTGAAAAAACCATAATGATTAGAAAGATTACATCACATATGTGAAATTACATCACATATACCTTCTCATTCACAATGCACTTTATTTTGAAAACATTATAATATTAGAAAGATTACTTGATGAATACATCAACCTTCACATGACTAGAGAGTAACCAAAGTCTTCATTTTCTTCACCTTCAATAACATTCTCTTGAATTTCTTTATAGTCTTCTTCACCCTAAATGTCTTTTTCATCTATGACTTATGTGAAATTTGTTGCACCATGTTTTATATAATTATTTGATTTGTGACTTTGTTCATTAATTTGTAACATTTAGAAACATTACTAGATACATTTAGATTTCCTTGAAAAGAATGTCACTTATTAGGAATAGATCTATTTGATCTTGGTGCAATTAAGGTTATTGTTCTTTTATTAGTGCTAGCAGATGAAATAGGTGCTAGTTTTGACCCATCTAATTGAAAAGTTGACACATTATTAGGATTACATATGATTGATTTATCTTCCTCTAATAAAGCTTCTTAATGTCATAAAAAATGATGTGATTTGATGTAAAAATTTAGGTATCATATAAAATTCAGATTCAATCAAATGAGCTCTTGAAAAAGTTTATAAAATTCTTCAACATATTCTATGAAACATTTGTTTCTCTGTTAACAATTTTTGATATTATTGATATAAAATAAATTCATAATCAAGAGGAAGAAATCTAGATTTCATTAATTTCTTCATCTTATCTTAACTTTGAACTTGGTCCTTTCTTGATTTACATAGGTAAATTAAAACTAATCCTATCGTACAAAGGTGCCACCTTTAAGTTTATTGGCATTTAATTTCTCCTATTTTTCACCATAAATCTTCATCTATTTAAAAAATCTCTCAACTTTTAGAATCCAATAATAAATTATTTAATTTTCAGATGTCCATTAAAACTAGATAAATCAATTTTCATTTGAAAATCCCTACTATCATCATAATCTATTCTACTTCTTGAACTGTGTCATTTTAAAAAAAAATTGTCAGATGATTCACAAAAATGATTTAGCTTGTGACTAATTTGACCACAAGATTGAGATTCAACAATCATCCAAGTTAAGATTTATTTGAAAGTATCATTCAAATCTTTAGAAAAAAATTCATATGATTCTTGAAATCAACAAACCTTGATTTTGAAATAGGGCATACCTTAGAATTTTTATTGTTGTTGCTGTAAATTTCTTTACCTCGTGACATCTTCAAAATTCAAATTTGGAATGCTGACTTTATTCCAATACCATTTGACACAACAAATTTTGAGAAATGAATGACTTAGGCAAGCTGTGGACAACTTTGGCATTTGTGGGGGTTGAAGACATCAAAAATTTCTACAGAATGTGCTTCAATTATTGTCCTTTCATCTTGAGTACATGAGTTGAAGAGGACAATTCCCTTGAGTACACGAGGGAGTGATTATGAGTCCACATAATCAAGAAAGAAGGTTCCTTGAATCCACAAGGATGTTGAAGACCACCTATAGACAGAACATCAAAGAAAGAAACTCACGAAATTTTATTAACGTAAAACTTAAATGCCTCTTAGGCTACTTAGGGTGTCTTTAAATAGGTTGATTTTTTTTAATATTGGCACAAACATTTGAATCTTAAATGAAATCTAAGTTTGAAATAAAATTTAAATTTCAAAATAGAATATAAAATACAAAGTGAAATTTGAGTTTCAAACAAAAAATTGAGTTTCAAACAAAATTTTAATTTTGAATGAGGTTTGAATTTCAAAGGAAATTTTAATTTCAAATGAGAATTTAAATCTCAATGGAAAATTTAAATTTCAAATAAAATTCTTAAATAGAATGGTGGAGTAAAAAAGGAAATATAGGCCCAATTTCGTAATTAGGCCATTCTCAAATTGTAGTGAGCTTCAGGCTGTATCATTATCTTCATGTCCTCTACTTTGCCTTGCCATCATCTTTGTATCTTTCTTGTTGACTTTTTTTCTCTCAATTTTCTTGCACAAAGAGAGAGAGAGAGAGAGAGAGAGAGAGAGAGAGAGAGAGAGAGAGAGAGAGAGAGAGAGAGAGAGAGAGAGAGAGAGATTTTCTTGCTGCTCTCTCATTCCTTAGAAAAAGTGTTAAGATATTATCCATAATGTCAATGAGATGGATATCCAACTCCAAGGAAACTTTGTTACAAACAAAGACGAATTAGAAATTAGAAGGATAAACATGTAAAAGGTATTCATCAATTTATTTACTAATGATAAACTAAATTTCACATTTTTCCTTCCTCATCTTTATATATACATAGATTTATATATTTTGACAAGATGAACATTTAATTTAATTATATGACTCAAAAACATACAATCAAACTCCCATCTTTTAGACATTTATATGCTACATCAATTGGTTACTTTAATTATCACTTTGAAGGGAGCCTATAGTCACAAGCAATTGATAAGGATAATATCTCAATTGAAATCAATTGATAAGGATATTTCAAACTACAAGATCTAGTGTTATGTTCTCTAGAATTATTAGGTGAATGAGAATGAACTGAAAGAAAACATACCTAAGTCCTCCTCTCCCATTCTCTAATTCAAGCTTGGAGCTTGTCTTTTGGATCAGTACAGTAAAGTCATCAAAACCTTATGACTTTTTTTCTAAAGTGATGGGATGCATCGTGTATGATCCAAAGACTTTTATTACCACTGTTTATAACATCGAGGTGGTTAGCCTCTCAATGTTAATTTTTAATTTTATCTATCATAAAATTGGAAATGACCTTGTCTCTAATATCTAACCCCATATGAGAAATCTCATAATATCTCATTAAGCCTTTGTGAATCACTTTAGTGAGATTATGTTAATGATAGTCACATAATATATAATTTTTATATATATGCTCACATTGAGATTAAATCTAATAGTAAGGTGATTGAATTAAAATTAAGTGCTCTACTGAGATGATCTTGGTTAGGGTCAAGAACCTAAAGACAACCTATGGATAGACTTTAAAAGATCTATGTATATAAATATATATCATGTCATAAGCATAAGATTTTTTTTGAATATAGACTTATAATAAGACTCTCCGCATGCCCAAATTGAGCGCTTGAATTTCTCCTGAGTGAAACACATAAAAAAATGACATTTATTTATTATACCTATTTTTGTAAGTAATTGAAATCGGGGGGCCGCAGCCACTAGCGGTCTCCTGTGGTCCGGAACTGATGGTTCACCGCTGGATCAGATAGCTAGTGCGTCCGTCAAACTGTGGTCCGGAGCTAACGATTTTATTCATAGAAATATTATTTCAATATTAATTCACCGAATTAAAAATTATATTCCGCACAGAGCAAGCGCGCAAGTAGAGAGCCCGGACGTTGGGCCCTCGGTCCATTTTCCAGCCTCAGAATCGGCCCGGTCCGATGAGACGACTTGACAGAGGCACGGCCGTCAGATTGAGTTTCAATTCCGCGATGAGAGGATTATTAAAACCGGATAATCTTTTTTTAAAAGGAGAAAAATAGTTTAGGGATTAAAATAAAAGAGGATAAAGTTAGTTATTCGACGCCCCCCCCCCCAGCAAGGAATTTCGTCCAACGCGTTCCCGTCGCCGTCGCCAACCCTCGCCGGCGATCGGATGCGACTGGCGGCGACTGGCATCGCTCAGGTTCCCAGAGGCGTGGGGAAGGGAGGAGCTGCTGCGTCTGCTACTGCGGAGTAAGAGGAGTTCATTGGCTTGCTTGATTTGGAGCTCAACGATGGGATCAATGGCGCCGGCGGGGGAGAGGATCGATCTACCGACAACTCAAGGCGGATTCGCAGATCGGGGAGTTGCCGGAGGACGGTGGAACAGGTGGATCGGTGGAGCTCTTTGCAGATTTCTATAGGCGAGGGTTTCCCTTCTTCCCGTTTTTACTCGCGCAGATCCGGCCTTCGTCCCCGTCGGGACGGTGAAACGATGAGGTCATCGTCTCTGCGGGTGGAAGACGCAGGGGATAGTATCGGAAGAGAGAGAAAGGCAGAGGGGTGGTGGTTTTTTGCAGTAGAGAGAGAAAGGGAGGGGGGGGGGGGGCTAAACTCTCTCTCACACACTCCTGCTTCGTCTCCTTGGCCTCCGAACAAAGCGAAAATTATAAAAAAAGGCTCCGCAAAATATTTATTCGGATTCGATCAACATTTTCGGTGGGCCCCAGAACAAGGCCGAAAGGTAAAAAAAGGCCAAACAAAATATTTCTTTTAGATTCGACGAAATTTTTCTTTGGGCTCGAAACAAATCCAAAACAACAGAAAAGGCATAACAAAATATTTACTTCGGATTCGACCAAAATTTTCAGTGGGCCCCGGAACAAAGCCAAAACAGATGTCGTGGTTTGAAAAGTGCCATCTTTATATATGTTACCCTGTGCAGATGTGTCGAATTTTCCGTTGGCTCTTCAAGGAGCCTGAATTCCCCTAGCACTTAACTGGTCTCCTCATCGAGTGCCTGTATACCTGATTGCTTGCTCTGTTGAACATCGTCACTCGTTCCTATGTGTTCTGCTGTATGTACATTTCGAGATCAAGTGTCTTTTCAGGGGGGGCATCATTTCTGTGGATTGTTCTTCGTCTACGATCTGTGTATTGAGTTAATGGAGATTACGATTCTCGTGTATCTGGACAGGACTTGGCGAACTTTGCCATAAAAAACGGTTTCGGAATGGGATTCGTTTCGTCGAGCTCTCATTCGGATTTCGGAAAACAGGCCGGAATTCACCGATTTGAATTAGGCGCCTCTTCCCATTAATCTGAATCGGGGGAGACATTGAATTTCTCCTGGTCATTTTCCTAATAGTTTCTTAGGCACGAAGTTTGATTTGAGTTGGAGGTCTTCAATTCAGTCGTGTACTTGCACACATTCATACAGATTTCGCGCCAGCAAGCAGCTTCTTTTTTTTTGTGCCATATGTATGAGTCCGCTGATACATGTCTCCCTGTTGAAACCTGACCCATTTCTCCCTTCGAGTATGGATGGATGGATGGATGGAAGGTGATCTACGAGCTATGCTGCTTTCTGAAATCTGGCGGAGTAATACGACAGCTTAGCTTGAAAAATATGAACCTGCGCAGTTCTGTTTTGTGATCCACCCTTTGTTTCCTTGAGAGTCATTATCACCGGGGAAGATCCTGTGCTCCCTCCTCTGACTAGATCGGCCAGGAGAGCTTGACACCGGCTGGTTACCCTGGGTTCTCTGATGAGGCCCCGACAGCAGGAACTGGGCCGAGGAGAGCGCGGTCTCAACAAAGACGGCCCAATACAGTGCTACAGTCCAGCAGCCCAAGCGGAGCGCAAGACGACGGGATGCGGGAACTTGCAGCGGATCCTGCAGGACAGAAAACAAGGGCGGCGGAAGGATCCGGGGGCAAACAATGCTCAAACGGCAGGATTCGACGCCTACGGATCCTGTCTCGTGACAAGTCTCCGCGACGGCCATAAGGGAGAAGGAGCGGCCTCTGGAGGGGGGAAGAATCAATGTAAGTAAACTCTTTAGGAAACTCTTTTGGGCAGCTGGAGACTCGCCATCTCGTATCGGCGACCCCAAGACCGGCGGTCTTGGTTTGTATTCACAAATCTAGATCCGCTCTAAGAACTTCCAGATAAAGAAAGAATCAAGAAGGAGAAATCGGAAATATGAAATTGATCAAAAGAATGTTCCACGCGTCAATATGTCAAACACATAGCCCCTTATATAGGAGAGCCAATCGTCGTAGGAGAGAGAGAGCACGCAACTCCTCGCTGAGCTGGCTTGGTGTCCGAGGTGGCACCATCCTCGCTGCTATAACTCCTGACGATGGATGGCCCCGATCAATCCTGCAAACAAAAAATAACCACCTGAAAGAAGGAAAACACCCAAATCAGTCTCGCTAGAGAATTTACCGAAGACGGCAATCCACGGTGGTCCATGGTGGGGCTGGATCAAACCCTTCAATTTCTTCCTTGCTCCAGCTCCTCCGTACGGACATCCTTGATGCCCAGGCACTCTCACATCTCTCCATAAATTTTAATCTTCCAAGTGACTTGGTGAGGATATCCTCACCAAGTCTCGTAGCCCTACACGTGTATTCCCATCTCTCGTGTAAACCCTTACATGTTTAAGCTGCCATTTAGGGGCGGAAGAACATAACTTTGAATGCCCCAACATTTTGTCGGCTCACATGAAACAACATTGAGGTTTTGTATTCGATTTTGATGCATTTTGATTGATTTAAGCATGAATTCAAAGCGTAGGTCCTTGGAGAAACTACTCGAGAGGAAAACAGCCTAGCCTTGGCATCATATAGAGCCTTGAGATAAGTTGATCCAGGTTCGACATGTTCCGGACGTAATCCATTTGTTAGACATTCGTAGGTTTGAGTTAGGTTGGTTTATAGCTTCGATTCCACTTTGTCAGTCTTTTATGCATATATTCATCTCTCAAGCATCATCAGCATCATTGATTTTCTATTTTATCTCTTTTCTAATGGCGAAAATTCCTTTTATTCGCCGTCGCCCCTCTTTTGAGCTCGTTTGATTAAAATAGTCACTCATCAAACCTAATTCTCATTTCTTGTGGATCAACCTCGAGCTTATCATATTACTTACCTATTTTAGTATTTTTATTTGATAAATTTGTGATTACAAATATTGTTTTGATCAACTGATTTTGGGGCTTTCGACGACCCTCAATTTTGTTTTATCAAGAACACAACCCTCTTTATCTTTCACGATAAATCCCTCAGGTTGCTTGACATATAGTTCTTCCTCTACATCTCCATTTAGAAAGGTAGATTTCACATCTAAATGATGCAATGCCCATCTATTTTGAGCTGCAATGACAATCAGTATACGAATTGACTCAAATTGAACCACATGAGTAAATACCTCATCATAGTCTATGCCTTACTTCTGAGAGTAACCCTTCACAACAAGTCCTGCCTTGTGTCCCAAAACCTCTCCTTGAGCATTCTTCTTTAGCTTAAAGATCCACTTAAGCCCAATTGACCTGCAACTAGCTGGGGTTGTGACTAACTCCCAAGTTTGACTTCGATCTATAGCTTCCATCTCATCTCTCATTGCCTTCCTCCATGCTTCCTTTTGTGAAGCTTCAGCACAAGTCACATGCTCATCACTAGAAAGCAAACAATCTTTCATCTCAGAGGGTATTGGACTGGTCTCACTATACAATTTAGCTAAGGACTTGAATCTTGCAGGTTGACTTTCTTCAGAATCTGAAAGTGCGACCAGAAATGGCTCTTGAGTCTTAGAGTGACTCTCTTCATCTTCATCCTCGGGGACAATTGGCTCATCCATCCCTTGGTTAGCAAAAAAATTAGGAAAAAATGTGAGCTCAGGAACATTCTCACATCTTTTTTCTCAATTCCACTGAGCATCTTCTTCAAGAACAACATCTTGGCTGATATGGACTATGTCGTTGATTGGGTCAAAGTAACGGTAGGGCTTTGAGCCAATTTCATAGTGTATGAACACCATAGGGGTGTTGCGATCTTCAAGCTTTTTTTGTGGAGCTTTAGTGCATTTTACATGCATAATTGAGACAAACACTCGCAAATGGTCAATTGAGGGCTTTTTGCCAATCCACTTCTCATAAGTGGTCAACATCTGTAGACTGTGAGTAGATGACTGGTTAAGAAGATAAACTGCCGCACTTACAGCCTCTCCCCATAATTCTTGAGGTAGTGCTTTCTACTTCAACATACTCCGAACTGACATAATTGTTCGATTCTTTCTTTCCACAACTCCATTCTACTATAGGGAGTAGGGGGCAGTCAATTGCCGTTTGATGTCCTAAGAAGCACAAAAAGAATTGAACTCCTGATGATGGACGGCCCCGATCAATCCTGCAAACAGAAAATAACCACCCGGAAGAAGGAAAACGCCCAAATCAGTCTCGCCAGAGAATTTGCCGGAGACGGCAATCCACGGCGGTCCACGGTGGGGCTGGATCATACCCTTCAACGCCCTCTTCCGGTCCGCGCGAGCTCCCTTCACGGCGGACTCGGCAGCGAGACGTGGAGTTTGGGTCTTGTGCGCGCAGTCAACGAGCCAGATCCTCGCTCGTGTCAGCGGGAGCCCATCATTCTCCCTCACGAAATACCTTTCCTGCTAGAGAGAAAAAGAGGGAGAGAGAGAGAGCGAGAGAGAGAGAGAGAGAGAGAGAGAGAGAGAGAGAGAGAGAGAGAGAGAGAGAGAGAGAGAGAGAGAGAGAGAGAGAGATAGAGATGGCGGAGCAGAGGCTACAATAGCGTACCGCAGGTCCGATGGCATGAAATACCGTCCCTCTCTCTCTCTCTCTCTCTCTCTCTGTGCAATGGCTGCGTCAGAGTCCATATTCTCTCCCGTTTGCACGCTCAACCGTCGCGGACTCGAGGCCGCCTGCTTGCGGGGCCGAACGCCGTTAATATGAAACTACATCATCTGGAAGGGAGAACGTGGGCCGCCGGGCTTTCAGCTCTATCAGGGCCCGAGAACCGGAGAAGGCCTGGCCGGGTCGGTTCAGCATCGGAGCATGCAATGGTACGATACTAGGGAGGTAAATAAATCCATCCATCGCCGGAGTCTTATCTCATCTGCGCATAAACACCAAAGTAGTTTGGCCGTCTTCTGCCGCTTCTAGTACAAGGTCGCCACTCGGCGCTTCATCCCTGATCGTGTGGTTGTGTACGGCCTTTCCTTCTTTCTCTGTCTGGCCTTCTCCACCTGATCGGACCGCGGCGCGGAGGACGATGCCGAGAGAACAGTGGACACCTTTCCCGTGTCGCAGAGAGGGGAGGAGTCTCGTCAACTTCGGCCGGCAGCGGCACACAGACCTGAGCGCACGCAGCGGACACGGCGCGGCACGGCTCGTAACGGACGCCGGCAACGAAATGCGAGTACAGCAGGCAGCTGGCGCCGTAACGGACGGGGGCGCTTCGACCAGTACAGCGTCGCACCCTGCCTCGTTTTTAATAGATTTTATGTGACAAAGAGAAGGCTTTAAAGGACAAGCCAGATTTTACAAACCTATAAAAGCAAAGATTCATTTAGCATACCTCAGTCTTATAAATTTTGCACGTAAATATGTATATTCTAGTCTTAGTCCCCTATAAAATTGGGGATGTTAGTTAGACCGTCGTTTTATAACATTTAACTATTTGTTCCTATCTCGGTACATTTAAAATTACCCCTCTAATTTAATGATTCTTCGAATCTACTAGAGTAACATGAAATTTTGGATATGCCATAATCTGTGCTATTTTCAGTTCAAACTTATAAAATTGACGACTGTTTTCGGGTACCATTTACTAGATTTTATGTAACAGGGCTTTTCGAGGCAAATTTTACTTACAGCCCTATAAAAGCAATTTTTGTATATTCAGCCATACCACCGTGTTAGAAAATTCGCATACATGTCTGTGTAATTCTAATTTGTCCCTTATTAAATTGAGTATTTTAGTTAGACCGTCATTTTATAGCATCTAACTATTTCACCCTATCTCGGAACATTTAAAATCACCCCTCCCCAATTCGATTGATGATTCTTCGAAGAATCGTCTAGTATAAAAATAAACTCTGGATATATCATAATCTCTGCTATTTTTCAGATGCACAGCGTGGTTCGGCGAGTACGGCATCGCCGCGAAAAATAACCGTGACAGCAGCGTGGTTCGGCGAAAATAGTACAAAAGAATCATTCCAAGATCCCAAGTAACCGCAACCTCGGGAAACGTACCTCGAAAAAGTTGAGAAGCCGATGGGGCAGGAAGAAAGTTGAGAAGCAATGGCATGAGACCACCCCCAACTGATGCCGCCCTCGCTGTGAGCCACTCCATTTTGAGAGGGAAGCTGAGCTTCTTCGTGAGATTAGGAAGAGCCTGTGGACGGAGTACGTAATCCTGACGCCATGCCATTGTGATTCCCCCCCCTCCCCCCCGGGGTATTCCGCGCTCCGGTTGATCTGCGAAACGCGAATAAAATCAGTCTCGCTGGCTCCAAGGTGCGGCCGCGGCCAGAAAAACGACGGGGATTTGAATTGGAAGATGGAACAACAACGAATGGAGCCAGAAGCATGTACGGGGAGATACCCACCGCTCCCGCCGCGCGTCGAGCTCGCGTTCCTACAGCTTCTAGGCGAAAACAGGAGGAAAAGGGGCATAGGACACATCATAATCGGGAGCTTCTCAGCGAGCGGGATAGTAGCTGGAAGAAGAATTCCGCAGAACTGACCAGTTTTTGCTCCCCCGTCGTCTCCCCTCCCCCGTGATGCCGACGTCCAGACAAACGACCGTGGCACATATCTCTTCAATGGCCGCGTCAGAGTCCATCTTCTGCCCCGTTCGCGCGCACAAACGTCGCCGACTCAAGGCCGCCTGCTTGGAGAGATGAACCCCGGCAGACGAAGAAGAGCGAGCCATAGGAGAGGGCGTAGGTAGCCCAGGGCACGAGTGAGCTTCCCGACGGCTGAAAATGCGGGAATTAGAATGCGCTACCCGTCGTCCTCGGTCACTCGCCGTCGACCATCCCCGTGCGCTGGTACATAGAGAAGAGAAAAACCTTCCCAGAGAGAGCGAGAAAGAGAGAAAGAACGACGGCGAGGCAGAGCAGAGCGCCACGAGAGCGTACCGTAGGTCCGCTGGCAAGATTCACCCTCTCTCCCAGAGAGAGAAAGAGAGAGAGAGAGAGGCCCACGAGGTCCAGAGTGGCTCTCTCTCTCTCAATCTCGTACCTTCGTTCTTTTCAAATCGGAGGAACGCATGTACGCAGGGGAGTGTTGGTTCTTGCAGCTCGACGACTGGGTACTCTGCCGCTTGTACCACAAGAAGAACAACAAGGAGCCGACGGTCCGCCAGAATAAGGCTGTGGACCGCGCGGCTCCGGCGAGCGTGAGAACGCCGGTGTCGGACGTCTGAGGATGAAACGTGTTCAAGTCACGACGGCCGATGTGACACACTCGGCTCCGCGGAGGCAATGAAAGTCAACGACGAGGATGACTGGTTTCTGGATTTGAACGTGGACGATCTACAAACCACATTGACGGCCTTTTCCGAGGCAGCGCCGTCATATGAGTGCATGCCCTGCAGGACTACTTTATGTGGGGTCTCACCTCGTTCAAAGAGATTTTGAGAGAGAGCGATCGATAGAGAGAGCGAGAGAGGGGGATGGGGGAGAGAGAGACGGCGGGGCTGAGAGTCAGAAGAGCGTACCCAGGTGCGCTAGCAAGAAACACCCTCCTAGCGGGAGAGAGAAAATGAGAGACAGAACAAGAGAGAGAGAGAGCGTGGGGCGTTCCGCGACGAGGGTGTGGCCCGTTCCCGCTAGCAGAAGGCAGCCGATAGAGATAGAAAGAGAGAACGAGAGGCTGTAGCCTCCCATGCGCCTCCAGGGGCGTACTGACGACATACCTCCTCGTCAACGCCAAGTCAAACAGAAGACGAGTCATAAACTAGCAGACTAAAGCAACCGGAGACGAATCAGAAACAAGGAAACGAAGCAAACAGGCCACCCAACAATGTGTTGAGACGATTATAAGAAGGGGACTTAACGCTGAAAAAAAAGGGAAGAAAGAAAGTGAGTGAGAGCAGACCGACCATCTCGAATAGGTCACTAGGAGGCTGACCCCCTCGAACGTGATCGCAAAGAGAAAAGTAAAGAAGAACGAAGTAAATTTTCTGCAGCTAGAGAAAAAAGTAAAGCTTTTTCAGTGCTAGCTGAACGTGAAGTCATGGCTAAAAAGATAACCATAGCCCTAAACCTTAGATTAATGTGGATTTGTTAAAAAATATGATATATTTTTTAATATTTTTCGTGGATGAAAGTTTTTGAAAAAAATAATTAAATGAATAAAAAAAGACTAAATAAGCTGAAATGACAAGTATAATTTTTTTTAATATTTTCAATGAATGAAAAATATTTAAATAAATAATCAAATCAATACTGAAGTGGAAGACCAACTACGCCAGAAGGAATTATGAAAATAAGGAAGTTTATGAATTAGAAAGGTAGTGTAATGACTGCTCGCTAACCTTTCTACATGGTAGTGACAACAGGATATCATAGTCCACCCTCACAACAAGATTATCACTGCATTTTGTCATTACAGATCCGCCATTGAGTAAGTGTCGCATCCCAATTTTTCTGTTCATGACATTGATTCT